AGTGGAAGATTGTGTGTATCACAAGTTCAGTGGGGCTTGAGTATATATTCCTGATACTATATGTTGATGATATCTTACTTGCCAGTAGCGATATAGGCTTATTGCATGAAACCAAGAAACTTCTCACTAAAAATTTTGAGATTAAGGACCTTGGTGATGCATCTTTTGTCTTAGGAATACAGATACTTCGAGATCGCGCTCAAGGTATCCTACGGTTATCACAAAAGGCCTACATTGAAAAGATTTTGGATAGATTTGGCATGAAGGATTGTACGTCAGGAGATACGCCCATATCTAGGGGAGACAAGTTTATCTCGCCCAATGCCCTAAAGGTAAGCTTGAGATGATAGAAATGACAAAGGTACCTTATGCTTCGGCAGTAGGAAGCCTTATGTATGCCCAGGTTTGTACTCGCCCTGATATAGCATTTATAGTGGGAGTGTTAGGAAGATACTTGAGCAATCCAGGAATGGATCATTGGAAAGCAGCCAAGAGGGTTATGCGGTATTTAAAGAGAACAAAAGATTATATGCTTACATATCGGAGGTCAGATGAATTAGAGATCGTCGGATATACTGACTCTGATTTTGCTGGATGCCAAGATAGTAAAAGATCAACGTCAGGTTATGTCTACATGTTGGCTGGAGGAGCTATTTCTTGGAAGAGTGTTAAACAGGCACTCGTAGCTTCCTCTACTATGGCCGCTGAATTTGTAGCTTGTTTTGAGGCATCCAACCATGGGGTATGGCTGCGAAACTTTGTCACAGGGCTGCATATAGTGAGTGGTGTTGAAAGGCCACTGAAGATTTATTGTGACAACAAGTCAGTAGTGTTGTACTCCAACAACAACAGAAGCTCTTCAAAATCGAAGCACATCGATATAAAGTTTCTGGTTGTTAAAGAAAGAGTTCAGAGTGGTCAGATTTCCATAGAACACATAGGGACGAACTCCATGCTTGCGGATCCGCTTACTAAAGGCTTAGTGCCTAAGGTCTTTCACGAGCATACTGCTCATATGGGTGTTGTTTTGTTCGATGACACTACGGTTTAGTGAGGAGTTCTTTATGTTGGTGTTCTATGTAAATAAATAAATGAAATATTCTTATGTTTGTTTTCTGCAGAATAAAGAATTCAATGTTATTTTCCCTCTGAATGTATTATATTTTGTGCTTGTGTTTCTGCTTTGTGTATGCAGAAAATTTAGGATTGATCTCATAAAGATTAAAGTAGGACCAGTTGGAAATAGGCATGGTAAGATCACATTGCATGTAATTTCCATGCCACTCATCCATACTTGATCTATGTCATTGAATATATTGGTGCGATGACCATGGAAGGTTTAGTTATGCTTGAAAGTGACAAAAGCCGCCATGATCTCATATTGATATAGGAGGTGGACTAGATTGTATCTAAGGAGGAATCTAAAGAAAAATAGCATACAGTTGCGCACTAAAGATATATGATATAATTATCTCAAGTTAATATGTGGCCCAAGTGGGAGATTGTTAGGAAATTATATTTTCTAATAATTATTGTGGGTCACATATTATATTAATAATTATATTGTGCTATTTATATATATTGGGTAAATTAAAGTGATCAGTTAAATATTCCTAAATTGATTCCTAAGTGAGTATAGGCTGAATGAGTGGATACCGGTGTTGGGCCAACTAGGTATAATGGGAGCTTATTGACCCAATAATAAAGATAAAAACACTATAAGGGTTATGGTCCTCAAGACGTCAAATAACAACCCCTAGTTTCTCTTCCCCATCAAGAGAGAGACGGCACACTAAGGAATTTGGTTTTAGGGTGATTTGACTGAGGAAGACTACAAACCCTAAGAGACAAGATAAAAGTTATTACGCTGCAATGGAGACAGGTATGCCTCCACCTTTATGTTTTTATTTCTTTATGATTTGATATGATGGATCTTGGCTTGTAGGTGATAGTTATCACCAAAAGGTTTAGAGGAATTAAAAATTCCAACATCATGTAGTCATACGAACACATAATCAGATTATTAGTTCAAATATATTCAATCCTTAAACAATTTAAACCATTGGAATCAAAGACTTGCATGAAACAATTCAAAAACAATGTAAAGATCATATTTTTAACCGAACAAAACTACTCTAACTTATCGATAGTAAAGTACCACTTAAAAGAAGCCTTGTAGGCATACACGAAAAGAGGGGGGGCACGGAAGAAGATATGACATATTGAAATGCTTTTTTATTTAAAAACGCGGGATTGTTATTTTTTTGCGTTAGTCATGGCAGTACTCAATGAATTAGTCTCATGACATGACAATGCTTGTGAGAATTTTTTTGTCAAAGACAAAAAAAAAAAACTATGTGGATCACTAACATTTATATTATAGGGACAATTTTTTTTTCTTTATTGCCATTATTATATTAATTTAACAATTAAGACAATAACTCCTCAGGTAGTTACCTCAGACCACGTACAAGAAAGTATAGTGATAAAGTCTCTGTTTCTTGACCCAACGAACGTAGTTCATTTGGCAACATAAAAATTAATATAATTCATACAAAAAAATTAATATAATAATGTACACAAAAATTAATATAGCTACAATTGTGAATAAACCCTGGCTCGAGATTTATCTCACAGCCAACTCAAAGAATTGAAATTTATGAAAATATTGAGGATCCACTCACCGTAAAAAGATACTTAGAGTTGATATATATATATATATATATATATATATATATATATATATATATATTCCCGTTTCTTAGACAGAAAAAGGAAATCCCGTTGAAATTGAAGGCAAATAATAACAGAAAAAGAAAAAAGAACATTGATTACAAAAAAAGGAGCGGTGGTATTTATATAGAGCTTTTCCTTTGCATATCTAACGAAAATCCACTAATCAAATTTCCATTTTTCTTTTTTATTTGTTTTTGTTTCTTTCTTTTTCTGTTATTATATTATTGATCTCATTTTTGTGAGCCACCCGAAATATTTTCCGTAACTAGTATTTTTGAGAAAAAAAAAAAAGTTTCAATGGTAAGTGAATTATTAATTAATATACGTTGTTAATTAATAACTGACTCATCATTGATTTATACAAGTTAGGCACAAACTTTAAATCGTAGAAGAAACTTTTTTTTTTCCAACATAGTAGATTTGGTCTTTAACCAAATAGGAATTAATATTTCTCATATTTCTCCTACACACAAAAGCGTGTGAAGCTATGTGAAGAGAAGATATAGGTCCCACACACTTTTATGTATGTGTAGAAGATAAAATTATCTCCTGCAATATAAGGAACAGTAATCCAAACCAAGTATGTTGGTTTTCAAATTTAATATTTTCTCTTAAACTAAAGTGTGGCTATTTATAAATTATAACTTCGTTGAAATTACCCATCCCTTGGAAAAAAGTAGCGAACAATTGAACTTAAAGCCTGTTTGTACATATTTGTTTTAGGTTAAAAGCTAATTTTAAATTAAAGCTAAAAAAAATACTTTAAAAAAAAATTACAAACCGTTTGATAATTATATAAAAATTTTAATTTAAAAATTACTTAAAACTGTTCATTTCAAAAAAATGCAAACATTTTTAAAAAAATTTGATATAACTTAAAAAAAAGTTTATCCTAATAACTTTTGGCTTTTTTTATTATATATTTTTTTATAAAAACTTGTTTGACCTAATTCTTTAAAAGAGAAAGAAAAAAAAAAGAGAAGTTAGGATTAGCAACCCATTCCGAAGAAAACCATCCATTTCTCTCATGTCTCAGAAAAAAAATGAGTGCTCCTATATATGGAGATGGAAGCCACAGAGCAGAATCCCCCAACCGATCAAAACGGCGTAGCCTCCCAACACTCTTCTTTGCGTCCCAAGCAATAATTAATGTCTTCACACTTAGAATAAAAGAAAAAAAATTAAAGAAAATTTTAAATATACTAAAAAATAAAAGAATATAAATAAAAAAAGAAAAAAAAACTTTAACTTAATATATAAAGAATAATCAAGAGTCAACTAAACTGTTACAATAGAATATTTTTGGGTGCTCAATCAAAATTACGGGCCTCAATTTAATCTCTTAGGGAGAAAAAAGTCTACTCGTGATTCCTCAGAATTCAAAAATAGACCCTGATATCAAAACCATGGTCCTCTAAAATTCAAAAAGACTCACATTAATTCCTCAAAAGGACTAACATGGGTCTATTTTGGAATTTAAAGGGATCATTAGTCGACTTTTTTTTAAAAAATTAAATTGAGTCTTATAATTTTTATTGATGACCTAAAATATATTTTATTCTTTTTCTTTTTCAAAAAATTTATGTGTGCACTTGCAAACAGATAGATCCGCCACTAGTCCCAAGGATAAAGTTCCTTGTCCCTGGTACACTCTCATTCCCTGTCTAGTCTTCAGATTCTGATTTTGAAATCACTGTTTTTTTTTTTTTCAAATCAATTAAATTTTGTTTCTAGTGGAGGTATCCTTAAAACTTTTGAGCACAGCTAGGGTCGACGATGTCCGTTCAGCCGTTGAGAGGTAATTCCCTTTTCTTTCCTCACTAAAATGCGATGCTTATTCACTTATGCTTGATTACTGTGTTCTCTTTTTATTATTCTCTTTTCTTGCAGATAACGTGCAAAGAATATGTGTCTGCATGTTATTTTATTTATTTATTTTCAATTTCGTGCATTGTAAGTGGTTGATTTGATTTGATTGCAATCATTCGGAAGTGGAAAGAAATGAAACTTCATTGATTCGGTTGCCTTGTCCTTGTTCGACTAATACATTCAATGAATATATTCTTGTGCAGAATCACGATTTTGGTTGTTTCCATTTAGACGGAAAATTTTGATTGTTTAACTCTTCGAGGCACCCATTATGAGTCATGACCGAACTTCTAGTCTGTAAGGCTTTCTCGCGGAACTAGCATGTGGCTAGAATTCTATATTCTAGATGGCCTCATGATATTTGTGACTCCCAAGCCATATATACGTGAAGCATTTTTAGGGGGCGTTTGGTTGAGGATAAATTTTATGAATAATAAGGAAATGTTATATATAGGAAAATGGTTAGAAAGTGAGATAGGTAGGAAAATGTAAAAAAAAGTTGTTTGATTGGAAAAAAAATTATCGGGAAAATTAGGTAACTTTATTGAAATCTATGTTTGGTTGTAGGTAAAATATAGATGGAAAAATTAGGTAACTTTACGAAAATAACCCTGTTTATAAAAAAAATTTACTGCTACTTTACCCGTACACAGGTTCCATGACTTGGTTTTGCTATTATGTTCTGCTTGGTGTGTCTTTTATGTGGGTAGTTGCAGTGCTTAGTTGCAACCCTCTCAGACCCAAGTTCTTCTCTAGTTGAAAAAGCAATTGGAGTACCCAAAACAATTGGAAATATGGAAAGATCGTTGGACAGAACTTTGCTCAGACTAGAAAATATGTATGCTGAATAAAAGCTTCGAACAAGTTGGATTAAAGATTTGGAAAGAGCCCCCATCCTCACATATTTCTCCTCCTAGCTGATTCTGTAGGGAGACTTGCTTCAGTTGTGTAATTTTCTCTCAAGCCTTGGTCCAGTTCATGTACACCCCTCCCCTCAAGCCTCGGTCCAGTTCTTCTCTCAAGCCTTGAAAGGGTACGCTCGTCAATTAGTTATTAAACACTCTGAGCAAATAGGTAGCAAAATCACAATACCACATCTACAAAGGGAAACTTTCGCCGGCAATTTGGACCAGATACATATGTAAGTGAGTTTCATAGCAATATGATTTATGTAGCCAAATTTCCAAAATCTTTCAACCAAACCTAGTCATCTTATAATCCCATTTCACATTTCCCCATCTTTTACATCAAAATCCTCCAACCAAACACCCCCTTAAAGAATTTTGTGAACTATCATTTAGAGAATAAAGCAATCAAATTTCTAGTAGTGCGCCGAAATGACATCTAATTTTAAACAAATATCTCTATATTTTTAATAGCCGTTACTTAAGCATTGCTTCTCCCTGTACTCTTTTTTTCAACTATTCATATATTATTGGGATGTAAATGTAACTTATATCAAGTGAGATTCCGTCTATTATATATAATCAAATAGAACATACTCAATTTTTAAAAAAAGTCTATTTAAAAAGCAATTCATAAGCTTTCTTTTATATACCGGGCTTATAAGTCTACATGCCGGTTTATATCATATTATTATTTTTAAATAAAATTATTATTTTAATGATTTTAAATAATAGAATAATATTATTTTAATTATTAAATATTTAATAGGATTGAACAAATTAATAGACCAAAAATTTTATTTTTTAAATATAGATCAGATCAAACTTATAATTTGTATCTACACGTATTAAAAGCCAGACCGTTATTTAATTCAAAATCTCATTTACATCTATTCTTTCCGTACATGCTATTCTTTTATTTTTTTTTGAATAACTCCGTACATGCTATTCTAAATGTTAATGTGGAGGAATGGAATCTAAATTTCAGGACGAATCTACTTTTTTCGACAGTATCAAAAGCTAGGGAATTAGATTCAATTTTTATCTCTGAATGCTGAAAATAAATTAAGAAGAGCATTTATGTTTGCCTATATATATATCCACCCGCCAAGTTTAATCTTGTGCTTGAGTCAATACTTGTGAGCGTATCAGAGAGAGAGAGAGAGCAATGCTGAGATCCAACGACTCCCACACCCACATGTCAGAAATTCGAAGGACTGAGGTCCCTCAATACCACAATGGTCACGTGGATATGAGGACTGTTTATGAGAGAGATGAGATTGAGGGAACCCAGTACCCCAACCACCACCACCACAGGCATCACAACCCAGAGACTCGTGAGAGGGTTGAAGTTGCAGAGTATGAGCGAGTACCAGCTGATTATGGGGTTCGTGAAGTCGTCTATGAAAAGGACGTGGATGTTGAAACCGACCAACGCTACCAGCGAAGGAACATGGGGTATTAATTAAGTTTGTTATGATCATGTCGCTATTTCGCTAAGCAGGTTATATAGTATATCAAAATCGCCACAGTGCGTGTGTACTTGTATTAAATAAATTCCTGCTTAGCAATCTGTGATGTCAAAATAATGTATCAAATATCAATAAAGATTACATAGCGGTATATATATGATATATCCATGTTTTATGTGTGTATATCGATGGTACTTAAATAGCGGTATATCCATGTTTTTGTCGCCACTTTTGAAATTTGAATCGATCGCATTATTTCAGTTCTCACTTTTGAGTTTCAATCATTGGTTGGCTTGAGAAAAAGCAACCAGCTACGAGCCGAATGGCTGAATTCAAGTAGTTAAGTTCAAGATTAATAAAAGTCCTTGATGAAAAATTAAAAAAATGAACGGCTTATTTTTATTTTGGTAATTGGGGAGGGCTGCAAGCTCAAAACTAAAATGTAAATTAATTTTAGAAAAAAAAATATATCTAATATTACTTTAAACAACTTTATCTAATGTTAACTAAAACGATGTCATTTTTTGTTATAAAAAAAAAATTAGAATAATAAAAACTATTATAACTCTGAAATAAATTAAAATTACAAACACACCATGATTTTTGCTTCAAAATAATGTCGTTTCGATAAACATTAGACAAAGTTATATAAGGTAACAAAAAAACAAACCGATTAATTTTATACGATTATTTAATTATATATTGTAACATAATTATATTGACTTTTCAATTAGTTACTATTATAATTAAACGATCTAAATAATAATGTAGTACTATATGGTTGCATCATAATATTAAAAAAATGACTTGACAATAGATAAAAAATGAACTAAACATTTTTGTTTTTATTTCTTTACAAAGTATTTCTATGTTCTATTGTGGGCAGTTTGATAGCCGTCAAGCTAATAACAAATAGATGTAGATTATTAGATACATTTTAGGGTTTTACATCTATCATTTAACATGACCACAACAACTTTCCCACACACATAACATTTTGTGAGACCTGCAATTTTTGAAAAAAAAAAAAAAAATCTCCGGCACGCAAAACGAATCTCTATAACATAACACAATCATTTTTTCTACCACATAACTCTTATAAAACCTTACATTTTATTAAGGTTATGCTATAAAACACTTGAATGCAAAATGACTTCATTTAGATCGGTTAATGTTTGGGAAAATTACTCTTTCATCACTTATCATTCGAGCATGTATTATTTAATTCTCTGTACCTAATTTTAAACTTGTCACTTAAACTCCTCATAATTATAACACGTATAATTCAATTTCCAAAGTGTTAAAAATGTCCTTATAATACAATAATTTTAAAATATTCATAAAAAATAAAACACTAAATTAAAAGTGAAAATTAAGAAATATCCCTAATTAACAAATAAATCTTAAAATATCATATAAATTTAGTATTAAAAATAATTTATTTGTGAATCAATGAAATGATATGTATTATGTAAAATTCTCAAATAACATGCTTAAATTTTTTTCTCTAGTATAAATTTTCGGGCAAAAAAATTAATTTAATGCTTTTTAATAAAATAATTACGCATTTATTACAATTTTAGAAATAATTACGGATCTACTGCACAATGTGACGCCCCTTTTAAGCGTCACATGTGACGCCCCATTGAAGCGTCTCACCCTAAGGGGAGACGGCCCAATGAGGCGTCACACTTGAGCCTTATATATTCCCCTACCACTCTATTCACTCTTCACACCTCTTCTCTCACTCTTCATATCTTTTATCTACCAAAATTCCTAACATCATACATACATAATCCTTTATCTTTAATTTAGTATTTGAATTCTATTTCTTATTCTATTTAAGAATGAGTTCACATCCTAATTTTGTTCGTGTTGTGTTATATTACAATGGTAGGAAGGTAGAAGGTCGACGAGGTGTCATGTCTGAAGGTGAAAAAAGGCTGACACGTATCCAACGCAACGCAACCATTGGCGAACTGCATCAGAGAATTCGGCAGAAGTCAAGTCTTCAAGGCAACCAATGTATCACTCAGATCACGACAAGGTTATGACAATGTGATAAATACATTAGTTTGCAAGTGGTTGACGATGAAGACGTGGAGATGATAATGAAAGAATTTTTCAACCAGTCAAGGACAGATTTTCTGGAGTTTTATGTGGACATCGCCGCAGCGGAGAATGTTCCATTACCGGTGAGGTTAGTTGATTTAAATTCTGCCCGTCTTCCATCTTCGTCTGCCGCTCACGCGTCTCCAGTTGGTAACATTTCTGAGGGAGATGAAAATGATCCGACTTGGGAAAAGCACGACGAAGACGACGACGATGATGATGAAAATATCGCAATGGAAGAACGTCTTCTGGCGGAGGATGCCAGTGCTTCAGAAGGAGATGAAGGTGGTGAGATGGGTGCGTCTCAAATCCCAGTATACTATGAACCAGTGGTTGCGCAAATGCCGCAGTTGCATGACGTTGCGTCTGCCTCATTAGGTAATCATCATGAAGGTAATTGATATAATTTGCATATACTTGAATAGATACCTGATTTAATACCTGATTTAGGAATTTTGTATTAAAAAGTTGTAATTATCAGATGTAGGTGACGAAGCTGTTATTCCTTTTTGGGAAGGAATTCCGCATTATTTGTACATTGATTGGAGTTATCGGAGCGAACAAGAATCATGCACTGATGAAACTCACTGGCCAGTGGCTCCGCGCCAAAAACAGCAGCACAAACAGCGAGTCAATCCTCGGATGTAGATCCGGTAACGACAATGCCGTCAGTAGGCAATCCCAATATGCCGGCCACATCCTGCAAGGTGATAGTCATCTCACCTTGGGTCATGTGGAAAGTATGTGTCTCTGGTCTCCACCTCTCAACCAGAGCACTAATTAATGGGGCATCAATCTGAAATAAATTATACAATTATCACGTGTTAACGAATGGTATTGAATAATCACATAAATACAAAACGCCGTAAATTGCATACCTGGATATGTCGCATCCGGGCAACATGTATAAATCCAGCCTGTGTGAGGTAGTTTGTGACCACCTCTGGAATGGCGTCGATAGGTGGCCCCCCTGTGGTTTCCCACGCCTGGTCTTCAGTCTCCTCACATGCTCTGTATTCCACACTCGCTGCGAAATATGGGCACTCTGCGTCCTCTTACGAAGGATGTCCCATCTATAAGGCCCAGGTATGATGTACATGCTAGGATCGGTAGGCTCTGGATTTGATGCAGAACCCGAAGATGATGATGAATCAGCTATGACCGTATGTGCAATAGAGACTTGAGTGTATATATTTTTTGATTTGATGAGCGTATATATTTAACTTAATTGTGCAATAGAGACTTGAGTGTATAATTGCTTTAGCTCTTCCTAGCGGTCGGAATTATTAATAAGAGTTGGGTGTGAGACAAGACAAGTAAGACACGCTTAAGGAAATTATAAAATTAAAAATAAAAAATAAAAAACCCATAAAATTTCAAATCTTAGACAAAGCAATTGATGAGAGTGTTAGCAGTAAAGAGGTAGCCTATAACAAGGGAAAATAATTATTAATAGATTAAAAGACAATTCGGTATCTCAACCAAAAATTTAATAGGTTTTAGGTCGTTTCAGACTTTCAGTTATATGATTCTAATTTAGTTTAGTTTTTTTATTAATGTGGGACTTCATCACTCATATACAGGGGTGAAAGTGGGTCGGGCCGGCCTACACCTGCCCTAACATATATCAGGCCATACTCGGCCTATTATATACAGTCAAATATAACAAGCTCGGGTTTATAATACAAGCCTATTTAGAAAATAGGTCATAAGCTTTTTTCTACATACCGGCCATAAATCTACAAGCTAGCCTATATCATATTATTTAATTTAAATAACATAAAATAATATTATTCACAGTAGTACCAAATGGTGATAGCTCAATTGATGCATGTGAGCCGGGTAGGTGTGGAAGAACCTATGTTCAATCTCCACCCATACCACATTTGGGAGGGGCATAAGATTTATACCAATCTCTACGAATCAACATTTAGTTCTGGAGGAAGAGTTATTGATGCTTATCATTCTAACTTGGCTGAAGATATCATCCAAGCCTTAATATATGGTGGAGATTGACTACGTAATAAGTATGACTAGAAAAAAAAGACATAAATTTAATCAATTGAAATTATTTTATAATTTAATTATATTTTATTAAAGAGTAAATATCTTTTTTGGTCCTCAGCAAATTTCACGATGCCCGCTTTAGTCCCTAGCAAATAAAAAGGCTATTCGTGGTCTCTAAGAAATTCAAAATGGACCCATTTAGTTGAAATCGTGGTCCCTCACAAATTCATTAGTCCCTCAAAAGGACTAAAATGGATCCACTTTGAATTTCTTAGGGACCACGAATAACCTTTTTATTTGCTAGGGACTAAAGCGGGTATCGTAAAATTTGCTGAGGACCGAGAATGGTATTTACTCTTTATTAAATTTGAATAGAAATCTGATTTTATATTTTATGTGGGAGGAACCAACATCTCAGCATGTAAGATTGCCTATACGAATGTATTAAAAGGTTTTTTTGTTTCTGATTTTTTTTTTCCTATTATTTAATTTTTTTTTTGTTTTATACATTTACAAATTGTTTGTCAACTTATGTAACCTTGGAATTGTATTTGCAGAGGAGAGAAGATGGTGATACGTTTTTGATTGCTTCTGAAAGTGACATAAATGCAGATTGTGATGAGTTGTTATTGTGATTCATGGTTCTGTTTGGACGTTAAAATTATGATTTTTGTTTTAACAATAGATTTTAAGTATTTTGTGAAGTTGATTCATGGTTCTGCTTGGAAGTTAAAAATTAACAAGCCAACGGGCTTGGCTAGGCCATTTGTTTTTTTTTTATAAATGGGCCAAACCAGGCTAACAGTTAAACTCGTACTATGTTATCGGATCAGGTCAAATTAAAATATATTGGCATAAACTTGGATTTTTCGGGACAAAGTTCAACCCAACCCATTTTTACCCCTACTTATATAGTTACACTTGTATTCCCAATATTCCTTCATTAAGTGTGAGTTTCAAGCTCGTATTTGCTCCCCTTTAAGGGAAAACTTTTTTGAATATTATTGTAATTATTCACCAAGTTCTTGCCACTACAACATGGATTTGGAAGGCTTACAAAACCG